GCTGTTTATGTACTTGCAAGTAATAAATTGTAATAATGTGGCAGATATGTGAAAGGGCGAAATTCGGAAGAAGCTTGTTTGAGAGATTGGTTATACTTGGTCACAACAAACACTTGCTTAATGTTCAATATCGAATGCATCCGTCTATTAGCTGTTTCCCCAATAAGGAGTTTTACGGTGGGAGAATCACAGATGCTAAAATTGTTCAAGAAAGCATTTATCGAAAACAGTTTCTTCAAGGAAACATGTTTGGCTCTTTCTCGTTTATCAATGTTGGTCGAGGGAAAGAGGAGTTTGGTGATGGACATAGCCCTAAAAACATGGTTGAAGTTGCTGTGATTTCTGAAATCATATCCAATCTTTTCAAAGGTACAAATTTCTCTCTTTTTCGGTTAATTACATTATTCTTTTCGATTAATTTTGCTTAGTCACTATTGAAACAGTTTCAAGGGAAAGAAAGATGAAGATGAGTGTTGGAGTGGTTTCACCATACAAAGGTCAACTTAGGGCAATCCAAGAGAGAATTGGTGATAAGTACAGTTCTTCCGTACAAGGTCATGAGCTTTTCACTTTGAATGTTCGGTCTGTAGATGGTTTTCAAGGAGGGGAAGAAGACGTAATCATCATCTCTACCGTGAGAAGTAACGGTAACGGTAAAGTTGGGTTTCTCAACAACCGGCAAAGAGCCAACGTGGCACTTACTCGAGCAAGGCACTGTCTTTGGGTGATAGGGAACGAGGCAACTCTGGCTCTGAGTGGTTCGATATGGGCAAAACTGATAAGTGAGTCGAAGAGACGTGGCTGCTTCCACGACGCTTCGGATGAGAAGAATCTAAGAGATGCAATGAATGAGGCTTTGCTTGAAGATGTGTCTTCCAGTTTTGGATCTCTTTCTATTGGAAATGGTAGAAGAAATGTTTGGTAGATCTTTTTTATTTTTCCTACTAAAACTCACTATGTGGTTCAGACGATTTTCCTATTGGTATTTACGGTTTTGAATTCACAATAAAAATTTGGACTACTTTTGAAATATTTAGTTTCTTGTCACCTAAGAAATCTTATATAGGAGGATTGTGGCAATCTCACTGACCTTTAGGTTAGGTCGTTGACTCTTAAACACGGAACCGTTTCGGCTCATTTGACCACTTCTTATACCCCAATCAACCACTAAACAGAGAGTAGTCATTCTCAGTTTGACCAAAAAAATGGGAGATCAAATTATCTTTCAGTTTGATTTTTTTTTTTTTTGGGATCGATTTGGATTCAGTAATCAAAAATATTCAATTTTCAATGAAATTTGGTTAATTCCGTTTTTTTTTTTTTGATTATTCTGTTCGGTTTCATGTAATGCTGATAAGTCTATAGAACTTATCAGGTTCGGGAATTTCAATTTGGTTGAGGACAGTTCGGTTTGGTTCGGGAATTGTTAATTCCGTTCGATTACTACTTGTTATTCGATTATTACTTGTTAAGTTTTCATTTTTTTGACAGTTTAC